CCGCCAGAACCCACAAATTCAAACAAATGCTTCGACCAGAGCAAATGAGCAAACAAGAAGCGAGACGCCGTCCCCCCGAAATCTGCCTTGTGCTCACAGCCTCCTGCAGAGGCGGAGATCGGCCTCTACCTGCCAGGGTGGCCCTGGGGTCCCAGGGGAGCCCCAATTCCCACACACACCCCCTCCAGCCGGGGCCGAACTGCATAATTTCTGCCTCAGCTTTTTTCTACCCACCGGAATACGCCCAGCCCCACGCCAGCGTCTTGCCACCGGAGACCTCCGGAAAGGCTTTCGGAGAACGACGGCTCCCAAACCCTTTGACGGACGGACAGGAGGACGAGTTCGGGCCAGAAAAAAACTACGGTCCCCAGAGCGCAGACCGCCTCCCAGCGGGGAGACGTCTGGGGCGGGAGAGGGGGCAGGGAAGGCTCCGAGAAGGGAGATGAAGAGCTGGACAGGGCATCTAGATACAAATCGGTTCTGCGTCCCGCCCTCCTGCCCTAAGGATCAGGCCCCTTTTGTCCCTTATCTCCCCCAGGCCCTTGCTCCATCTCAACGCCCCAGGACATCGGTGACCCATGTGCAACCAAGGCAAGATCCCTTCGGTGGGTCTCAGTTTGCCCATCTGTGAAATGGGCCACTCTGCCCCCGCGCTCTGCAGAGCCGGGTCGGGACAAGTTTGCTCCCAAAGCACGAGGGCTGGAGGGCGCACCGTGGCCCTGGCCACACACCGCGGTGACCCGGGCCCTCGTGACGCCCTCTGATCAGCAGCCCCACCGCCGAGCCCGGCTTTACGGCTTACCGCAGGCTTATTCGGCCTCATCTCCCTCAATCCCCTCAAGGACGCGGTGAGGCGGCGCTGGCGTCCCGGCTGCCCCGAGGGCCGGGCCAAGGCTCACAGAAACCAAGGGAAGCACTCAAGGTCACCTGCTCGTTAAGACAGAGCGCAGGACGTAAACTTAGCTCCCTGGGGACAACTCCTGCCCCCGTCCCCGGTTAACCCCATAATCAGCCCATCGTTCCCATTTCACAGGTAAGGAAGGTGAGGCAGAGCAAGGTTGCCCAAGGTCGACAGCTGGAGGCTGAGCCAGGAGGCCTCAGACCTCCAGCAACTCTGCCAATCCCACCCCCTGTGGCTGTTCATTGGCGGCAGGGCCCCCGCGAATCCCCCAACACCTACGGACGAAATCCCTTCCTCCGCCTCAAGCCCACCCCACGCTCGCCGGGTGACTCCCTGGCCGGGAGGGAGGCAGGCGGTTGCTAAGCGCTCGCGCGCGCTCTCTCGTAAAAATAAACTCCTTCTGGCCAGGAGGCTCTGGACGAGGTCCCCTCCGTTCCAGCCAACAGCAAATTAAAAAGAAATTTTCGGAAGATCTCGGTGACATTTATTTGAACATCGGCCGTGCCAGAGCGGCGGCCGGTTTACTGGAGTCCAAATGAGCCACGCGCCGCCAGACCTCAGCCCTGAGACCCTCCGTTCCAGCATCTGGGGGGTGGCCCAGCTGATTTATTTCCCCGGGGGGCCGGACATGGGGGGCCCGGGCTGCCTCCCAGGCCTTCGGGGCTGGTCCTGGGGGAGGCCAGGATCTGGCAGGGGCAGGACAGTGACCAAAATAGCCGGGCCGGTGACCCTGCCCGGCACACGCCTCCCTGTCCCGGAGGGCGGCCCGCGGGTCCCCAGGCCAGTCCGGGCTGCAGGAGGAGGTCCCCGGAGTCTCTGTGTGGCTTCCCCGGAGGGCGGGGGACAGGAACCTCCTGCCCAGAAGAGGAACCCTCCGAAAAAGGGGACGAGTCCGGAGGAGGATGTGCCCCGCCGGCCCTGCCTGTCGCCCACCACCCCAGCTGTCCCTGGGGGGCTCAGTCCCACCGCGCGGGGCTGCAGGGGCCGTTGGTGTCACCTGCGCCCCGCACACGGGCAGCAGCCGCCGAGCCGCGCTGTGCTGCCTTCTCACCTGTCCCCGCTCGGCCTCCTGGGCACCTGGGGACGCCCTCCTGGGCGCAGCCCGGCATCCGCAGCCGGGGGGCCCGCCGGCCCGGCGACACGCAGGGTCGCACACGTGCGCACACGCGGGGACACCAGGCACGTCCAGGCGCCCGGCGAGCCCGGGCCACGCGCGCACCTGCCCGCACCGGGAGACAATGACCGCCGGCCGGCCAGGCCAGCGCGACCCCGCGCCCTTCCCGGTTACCTGGCGAGGCCCGGGCCGCGCTCCGTGCGCTCGGGCTGGGGCTGGGCGCTGGCGGCGGCGCGGAGGAGGCGGTGAGGTCCGAGCGGCTCCTTCCTGCCCCGGCG